TACTGGTTTTGGAATCCCTGGTCCCTTCCATGTGGGGGTGGTGCTCCACGCAAAAGTTTCGTCTCTTCGCCCCAGCACCGGCATCACCCCACGTCCAAAAACACACCGCCCCATTCCTGCATCAACAACGCTTAGTTGATAATGAACTTTCAGCAAATAGGCCGCTTCCAGCCCAGGGAGAGCGGCATTTTCTTCCATGCCCCTGCGTCGTGATGCTATTTTTCTTGAGCGAGCCCATTGGCTATGGTTTCTTCAACGCCCCTGTATCAAATCACCGCACCCCCCGGCGGGCCGGGACGCAGGGCCTGCTTCGCTTTGGCAACTTTCTGCTCCCAAGCCAGGAGGCACAACCAGATCTCGACTCAATCACCACCACGTTGTGTGCCGAAGCACACACCCACACCCACACCCACACACCACACACACACACACACACACACACACACACACACACACACACACACACACACACACACACACACACACACACACACACACACACACACACACACACACACACACACACGCAGAGTCCCACCTCCACTTCGCAGGTGTCGGCGGTGAGGATGACTGGCGTGTTCGTCTCCACGCCGCGCATCAGCACCTGAAGCTTGTCCAGTTTGAACAGCATCGAGCGGCACTTGAGGTCTTGCTCAATCTCTGCGCGAGCTGCGGGCGCATGTGATGGCACGGGCACATCAGGTGCAGATGTCGACGAGGCGTCGACGGGCGCCGTCGCTGTCGCCGTGGTCGTCTTGATGTGATGGCGGCATGGAAGAGAGTGGCGTGTCGTGTAGCGTGTGGGTCAGCACAAATGCAAAACAAACGACAGTGTGTGTGTGTGTAAGACACATTCACACACAGGCACAGACATACAGACACACAAATGTACACACACATACACACGCATACTTACAGACACACACAGACACACACGCCCACCTGCCCTGCGCCCTCCATCAGTTGGTCCAGGAGCGTGCGGAATGTCCCCGACGTCAGTGTTGCCCCAGGTGCTTTCCCATCGTCATTGTCGCCTTCACCACCGCCGTTGCTGCTGCCGTCACCCGTGGTGCCTGCAAGCAAACCGAACCTGCTGGTGGCCTGGCCAATGCCGCCATCGCTCTGCAGGGAGAACTCGCCCGGGTTGACGATGACGCTGGACGAGAGCTGCGATTGCCGCAGACGGCGGTTGCGGTACGACGTCTCAATGTTGTCAACAACCTGTGCAGGCGCGCACGCAACATGTGAAGCAGAGAGAGAGAGTGTGTGTGTGTGCGTGTGTGTGCGTGTGTGCGCGCGTATGTATGTGTATGGGTATGTATGCATGTGCATGGGTGTGTGTGTATGTGTGAGCCAGGTGGGCTGCGTGAGTAACAGGATGTCAGAGGAATTGGGTTAAAAAAATGCAGCAAGAAACGTGTTCACAACACAGTGTTGAGCGGGTTCAAACAAGTGATCACTTTTTGACCACCCCCAAGCACGTTCACAAGCACCCCTCTCCCCTAAAAAGCTTCAAACAGTGCCTGCAAGCAAGCACCAACCCCATATCAAGCCCATACCTCTTTCACGGTCCATGTCCAGACAAATCGCGCCTCAACAAAGATGAACGTGTGCGCAAACACTTGGCCAAGCTCGCTCCTGTACATGGGCGGCGACACCATGATTTGCGGCTGCCCAGCCGTGCTGTGCACCTCCATGCTTCCGTGTTCCCGACCCACATTCCGGCTGCTCGGGTGCTGATAGCGATGCTGTTGGTGGGACCGCTGCTGGTGTTGGTGCTGCTGGTGTTGTTGCTTGTACTGCTGTTGATGATGGTGGGGATGCATCACCACCATCTGTTGCGTGTGGTGCTGCTGCCCAGAGTGGCCGCTGCCACTACCGCTCACGCCACTGCCGCTGGCGCCGCCAATGCTCATGTTACTGTCGCCCGTGGCGCTGATAACCGATGGCAGGGACTCTGAGCTGCCGAGCCGGCCACGGCGATGCGACACCATCACGCGGCAGCTCGAGTCGTTTGACGACACGGACCGCGCATCGCTCGCATGGCTCCGGTCCGATGCCATCGAGAAGGACAGGGAGGCGCCATCATCGGATGTTACGTCCGCATTGGCCGGCTGTCGCCCAGCGCGCTCCACAGGCGGGTACCCGGCGTAGAACCAGCGCGGGCAGTACATGAACAGGTCCCAGTAGGCGCCGTCAATCAGATTGCCGCCCCCGCGCGGATGTGCAGTGACGTCAGCGCTCCACTTGCGCAACTTGCGTGTGGTGTTGAAACACGACTTGACAAACTCCTGCAGGTCGTCCACAATGTATTTGGAGCCTGGCCGCGTGGCGAGCACGCTGGCGTCGCCCTTGTCCGGTTTCAATGCCGTATACATGTACACGTCATCCATGACAGCGCTTCCCGTCGACAACCGCCAGTCTTGTCGTACGCTGTCATAACGTCGGCAGTTGAAATTATACGGGTTGAAGGTGATGGAACAGATGATGAGGAACAGGAGAGGTGGAGGAGGTGGCGAAAAGACGGTCAAGGCAACAAGCACACACATGCACATGCACATACACACACACATACACATATACATACACATACACGTACACATACACACACACACACAGATACACGCTCGTTTCCCGCGCACACATACACACTCCCCTCTTTCTTACCGTTGTCGGAGTGGTGGATCAAACTTCCGAATGAGATCCCATCGGGAAATGTGATTGTATTGTATCTTCCAGTCAAAGTCGGTTGCGGTCATCAGCAGCACATCCTCCCTGGTGACACACATGCACGCATACGTGTCATGTCATGTCATGTGAACGAGCAATATGGGAAAACATCACGTGCACGTGAAAAAGTACGCACATTTGTAAACACACAAAGGAAAACGTTGACGCAAACAACCAGTGCTTGCACAAGCTGAACCAAAACTTTGTATGAAACGCACACACACACACACGCACATGCGAACACACACACACATGCCAACACAGATACACACACACACACCTTTCAAACTGGTTGCAGTAGACGGCGGAGATGCGGGCGCCCTGCCATCGAGATCGCACCTCGTGCAGGTGCTGCCCAAGCGACGGCTTCCGCTGCACCGCTGCCGGTGTGAGGGAGCGTGTGTACCTGCTCTTGGCGCGCAGCACCTCTGGTGCCCACTGCTTGCGCAGGGCGTCTGTCCACTTGAGGCCGTTGACGTAGAGCGGGCCTTTGCGGATGGGTCGTGTTGTCACGTCAAAGGCGGACTGCAACTGCTCCAGCCACCGCAGTGTCCGTCCATAAAGAAGGATGCAGCAGTGGTTCTGTGGCAATGAACATGTTGAAGAGGACGACGATGATGACGCTGAGGCTGCAGATGGCGATGTTGAACGTGACCCATCTTTGCCCTCGCTACCATCACCACCACCACCACCACCACCACCACCACCACCATTATCATTGCCATCGTGCCCAGTGCGTGTGCTGTGTTTCTGTTTGCTGCTGTCACTGCTCTGTTTCGAGGCCTTGAGCGTGCTGGTGCTGGTGCGCCCACTCTCACTCTCCGGTGTGTCTGCCATCCCGCTGCCTTCATGCATCACGTCAGAGTGCACAGGTGTCTCATCCACGTCCACCTCCTCGCGGTGCTCCCCAATCTGCACCTCCATGTCAAGCTCAACGTGCTGCGAGCGGAAACCGCAGTAGCTGTCGTGGTGGCGGTGCGCAAACTCTGGGGCAACCGGACACGCTGCGTGGTGGTTGTTGCCATCGCCTGTGCATTCATGGGATTGTGGTGGTGCGTGTTTGCGTACGCGTGCGGTGGTGATGTGCGTATATGTGCGTGGTGGTGTACGCTGGCATGAGTAGTGATACTAGTTTCGAAATGGAGCCAAGGTCGCACACAAGTCGTCACGCACCTTGCAGCACACACGGTCGAGCCAGGCATGCACAGTGAGCATCAACGATGGTGCCGCCAGACACCATCAGAACGTTGACAACGATGATGGTGACGACAGACAAAAGGCATTGCAAGGCATTGCATGTACGCTTCAGTTTCATGCGCTCGCTCACCGCGCGTCATCCAGTGGATGAGAACGTCGACGGTGAAGTCGGGGAAGTCAAAGAGCGGGCAGTTGTTGAACTTGGATGGGGTGACAATGCGTGTCTGCAAATCACCGGAGAGGGACATGCGTGAGTGGTTCCACTTGAAGGCGGCGCCAGCGAGCGCCGTCTCAAGGTAGTCTGTGTTGTCCGTCACGTCCGGGTTGCCAAGCATGTTCAGCCGAAGCGTGTCTGTCACGTGGAAAGGAAGAGTTGACAGAAGCAGCAGGAAAGCGCGGTGGTGAGGTTCATATGGGACACGCGGTGGGTTTGGGATGCAGCTCGGAGGGTGCACTGGTAGGGTTTGGTGTGAGTGAGGGAACGACAGCGGGTCAACTCGCGAGCAACAGTACAGCAGCAGCAGCAACAACAACAACAACAACAACAACAACAACAACAACAACAACAAAAACAACAACAACAACAACAACAACAACAACAACAACAACGCACCGGCAGTGAAGGAGAAGGGGCCGTGACGCAGCAGCCTGAAGTTGAAGACAGCAGCACACACTCCCGCGTGAGAATACACAGAGTGAAAATGCAACTGGCATTCGTGCGTGCGGATAGGGGATTGATATGCATTCGGTGCAAAAGCTTTCATGCACACGCACACACACACACATACACGCAACACACACACACACACACAAATAACACAACATCAGCAACAATGACCAACCTGGCCTTGTCAAACCACGGCATTGGCGGGCTTGGATCGCACGATGGCGTGTCAATCACATCGGCAACGTAACCACACTGGGTCACGAGCGGGTCAAGGTAAGGACCCCACGAAGCCGTAATGCTGCCTGCATGCATTTTTATGTCGTGATACAGCTTGAGTGGGGAGAGGCCCTTGCGGAACACAAAGTAGGTTGACGGGTCGACGAACACTGCCTGGTCGAACAGCGCTGTCGGCGTTGGTGTCGCCTCCGTGATGAAGAATGCACCCCGCATGCGCATGCGCTTGACCTCAAGCAGCGGTTTCGGCACATCTCGCACACGCACGCGCAGCACAGACACCGTCATGTGCAGTTTCCTGTGTGTTTGAGTTGAGTTGAGTTGAGTTGAGGGAGTGGGTGAGGGCGTGGGCGAACGTATGAGAGAGACGGTGTGTGTTTGTGTGTGCGTGTGTGAGTATGCGTGCGAGAGAGTATGTGTGCGTGTGTGTCAATGAGCGCATGTGTGAGTGAGTGAGTGAGTGAGCGTGTGAGGAAAACAGGGTGTTGAGTTCCGGGGTTTATTCTGAACCAAAAACCAAACTCCCGTCAACACTCCGCATCCACAACGCATGTCGACGACGCACCTTGGGATGATCATGTCGTACTTGATGCCTTGGTCAGGGTAGCTGCTGCCACTGTCGAGGGTTCGGATGCACTCCTCAACACCGGCAGTCGTCGTCATTCGCTCGTCTGGCAAGAAGGTCATGCACAAATTCTTGTACGAGAGGCGCAGCAGCGGCAGCTTCTTCTGCTCGTGTGTCATCATTGCATGGACGAGTGGGGGGGGGGAGTCGGGTGTGTTAGCATGTTCAACCGCAGCACGAAACAAGTGCTCATACAACAATGGTTCAAAATCAGATTGATGGGCACGTGAATGCGTCGAGACATGCGCACACAACAGCTCACAAATTCGCACGTGTACACATGTTCGCGCACATTCACACGTTCATACACAGTCGCACGTTCACACACTTTTTGTCTTCACATTCGCAAACACCGCCAGCACACGCTGCACGAGTTGAACGTACGCGTTGTAAAGCGGCGATGGAGCGGCAGTAGCGTTCACCCTGCTTGAGATTGCCACGTGTGGGTTGCGTTACAATGAGCGCGAACACATGCACATGTGCATATCCACATACACACACGCACACACATACACACATACACACACACACATATACAAAACAGCATGGGCGACGACTGCGACCTTTTCCTTCATCTCCTTTGCTCGACGGAATTTGCGCTGCTCCTCTGTCAAGCGCGACTGCGGGTGAATGACCTGAAACCAAACCAGGACGTCAAGGTGTGATGGTGGTGAACTGTGGTGTGTGATGTTTGCCCAAGCACGCTGAACCGAAAAGTTACAGCAAGTGTACTTCTCTAACAAATGCAGGCAAGACTGCAGGTGACTCCAGACAATACACACACACACACACACACACACACACACACACACACACACACACACACACACAAACATACAAAAACACACACAAACGCACGTGGGAGTGTGGGTGGTGGTCGTCGAAGGATCTGCTCTCCAGAACAACGTCGTGCCCAAACTCCGATCGCATCACTCCAAAGTTCTCGTTCAGCCGCCGTTCGAATGGATCATCATCAAACTCAACCACCAGCGACCGAAACGCGACAGCGACGGACCGCCCAATGCGCCGCGCGATTGTTGAAGGCCCAAACAGCGGCACGTGGCGCGGTGGAAACGCTTCCTTCGGTGCGTGCTCCCCGTGGTGTTGGTGGTCGTGATGGCGGCCGTGCGTGTGCGCGTGGGCGTGTTGATGTTGATGTTTGCCACGTCGTTCGTCGGACTTTGCTTGTTCACCCCGCGTGTGTTGTCGTGTTCCTGCAGTGTGATAAGCGCGTGCCATGCCTGTGGTGCCGTCATCAGCAGCAGCACCATCATCACCAACACCAACACCATCATCGTTGTTGGCGGCGTGCCCATGCCGGATTGCATCATGGCTAGCATCGTGTGGCAGCGACATCGCCGATGAGACGCGCGTGTGCACCGGTGTAGTGGGTGGGGTTGGCGAACCGGCCCGCATTGCCAGTGGCGTGCCGTCACCCCACGAGTACTCGAACAAGACATAGCGCACGTCGTTGTGCGACCAAATCTCGCCCTCTTCCTCATCGCAACCAAGCGCATCATCCAGCACAGCATCATCATCATCATCATCATCATCATCGTCGTCGTCAGTTGATGGTTGTGTGTCAGCGCCAGAGTTAATATCTTCTTCATCCTCCTCCAGCAGCAGCACATCGTCCACCTCATCACCAACATCGCTCACACCACCAACAGCGCCGTCGTGAGAGGAGTGCGCATGTGTGAATGTGTCGGCGCGGCGGGCAAGTTGAACGGTGAATGACTTGCGCAGCAGCAAGCGCACCGCCTTCACGGCAAACTTTGCGTCGTCAATGTGCTGTCCAATGTACACGTTATGGTGCGCTGTCAAGCGACACTTCCTCACATCAACGTTCCTGCAGGGCACATGCATGTGCACACGTGATTGAGGTCTTGCGTGACTTGGGGTTGGGTCGAAAGCGAACATAAACGCAAGACATAAGCAACTACACTTGCCCCTCCCCCAACACACAAGGCTTTGTACCAGTGTGCTCGTGGCTTGCCGCGCGGTGGGTCGTGGAAGGGACTGTCAGACTTTGGGTCAAAGACGTTCATTGCCGTTGTGTGTCGCTCGTTGTCCGCGCCAACCGAAGCCACAGCCAACCCGCGCATCTGTACGTATTTGTATGCGCGTGAGTGCGAGTGTGTGTGTATGCGTGTGTGTGTGTGTGTGTGTGAGAGAGAGAGAGAGAGAGAGAGAGAGAGAGAGAGAGAGAGAGAGAGAGAGAGAGAGAGAGAGAGAGAGAGAGAGAGAGAGAGAGAGAGAGAGAGAGAGAGAGAGAGAGAGAGAGAGAGAGAGAGAGAGAGAGAGAGAGAGAGAGAGAGAGAGAGAGAGAGAGAGAGAGAGAGAGAGAGAGAGAGAGAGAGAGAGAGAGAGAGAGAGAGAGAGAGAGAGAGAGAGAGAGAGAGAGAGAGAGAGAGAGAGAGAGAGAGAGAGAGAGAGAGAGAGAGA